CAGATCACCCTCGAATGATCATGAACTCAGCAGTCCTTTGTTTTCACTGCCATCAAACGACGAGGACTACATACGAACTGACTCAGCCCTACGAGAGAACCAGTATGACACCAATTCAGCCTCACTGAGTGAACTAATGAGTAAGGGCCATCTGCCGCTCCCAGTTCCTACTGAACCGATACAAATGTCAGGGCAGCCTATCTTGTCAGGTCCCTCGGCGGCAAATGGAGCTGACCAGAAAACAGCCGACTTTGTTAAAGACGGAGAGACTCCAACTATGAATTCGGCGGTGGATGGAATAGGACCCGTCTGTTGTGAACCAATCGAGGCGGCACCGTTAGTTGTCTCCCCGCGTTCTCATCGAATGACAGAAGAAAATAAACCCGCGCAGACTCCTTGCAATCAACCGAGTTCTCAGAAAGTCGACTTGTCTCTAATTCACAGTACCTCGGACATCTCGGGGGCTAATGCTATGCCTAGCGCCGAAAACAGTACAGGTGAGCTTAGCAGTTTAATCAATTGTTTTTGCCTCCGGAGTAAACTTAACCTTGGGTTATCTGAGTTGTTTCATGGAAAAGTTTGGTTTACGTTTATAGAAGCCATCAGTTGTCCTTTTTATATTTTCTTTATGTAACTTGAATCGAATTAAAACTGTTCTTTTGTCTTGTTAGTATAAATAAACATTTCCTTGACGTTTAGCAAAAGATGATGTCGTAGTTCAAAAATAATTTTGGTAACGTGTCTGCCCGTCATTTGTTCGTTGCAAGGGTGTTGCTTTTATCACCTTCCTGTTCCGGTGAAAGCCATTACTGATATCGTGTTCCTCACTCCATGGAAGAATTATACCAATGCACTAGAACTGTGTTTTTGGCACGCTGTAATTGTAAGTACATCGACCCTTTGCATTTGTCTTTGCTATCCTCTAAATGACCGAGTGGTTGAGACCATAATGAGAAAAACGGTTCTGTACGGCTTTACTACTGCCTTATTTCCAGCTGAAAATGGTGCAATTTTCTCTAGTGGAATGGTAGTTCTTACACTAAATTAACTGACTATAGAAGCAGTTTTCAACGGGAATTTTTGATTTATTCGAGGATGCAATGCACTAACGCACTAACTATGCACCAACGCCGTTTTCGGCATTTTACTTATTTTCGTGACCATAGGCTGTTCAAAGTATATAGCATTACGGAAGAGAACGTCTATTGGATTATACTTTAAATAAACCGAAAGAGGAATTGTCGCGTAGTTGCACAAAGCTCTACAATATGTTTCGACTTCCATCGTTGTGTCTAATTCTTCACCACCAGCTAGCATAATATTAAAGAAGTAAGTGGTCTGGTATAAGTTTCTCTGTACTTAAATGCTCAACACCTGGATTTGTTACAAGCAATGCTCAGTGTATGTTCAAGAAACACACAATAGTTAGGCTGTTCAAGGTCCTTTTAAACGCGGATGAAGAAGAACATGCGATCACTGGAACAATCATTTTATTTTTCTGACCTGTCGGATTCTGTTGGGAATCCTTAATCATAGATTATCCTAGGATGGTGCGAGACATGTGCGGAGTGGGGTGATACATGTACAGATGGCGCGGTATTTATAGTCCGTACCGGCCATCAGCACGCGTTCTATAATTATCAGCTCCTGTAACCACCGCTGCGGTGATGGCTTGGCAATTCGCTTTCGAGTCAATAATTGCCGCGATTTCGTTGTCCGTGTCGAATGCGGGCTTAATAATTGCGCGAAAATTATGTTTGCCGTGGTCAGAGCTGTTGTTGGGTCCGGTCCTTCCCACGTGACTGATTCTCCTGCTCAGACAATGTCTCAGTACGCAGTATGGGAACGGCAAAACACTACGCTTGTCAAATTTATTGGGAACCGGATAACTATGACTCGAGCAGCTCGCAGCTCACGTGATTGTCCCCTCTTGTGAAGATTTCGGCCTCGTTCAACTTGAAAATATGGTCACGTCCCGCCGAGTGAGCTGCGACCTGGGAGTTGGCGTCTTTATTCCTCACCGCCGCTGCGTTCTCAGCCATTCGCGCCCGGAGTAAACTCCCGGTTTCTCCAACCTAGTTGCTTTGTCCACAGATGCACCAGATCCGGTAAACGATTCCAGCAGTTTTTTGCGTGGTACTGGGTCTTTCGGTCTTATTACCCGTTCTTACACAGCTGCGTTTGTGATTCATCTAGTGGTTGCTGATGAAGTTGGGACTTGCATAGTGTTGGTTGCTTCCCTAAACACTTTTGTTTTTAGGCCACCACCGTCTACGCGGCAAAACAGGACATCCAGGAGGGCTGGCTGTGTGTTTTCTTCCTCCTCCATTGTAAATTGAATGTCCAGGGAGACGGCGTTCAGGCGCTCCTTGAATGTCAGCACCTAATACCTGTCAATTACGGCGAAGGGGTTGTCCACATACCGAGCCCGAAATTTCGGTCTGTGCTGTAAGAAAACCAGCGACTCCGACCGTTGCAAGACCGCCTCGGCAGAGTCCGGAAACTGGTGAACCTCTGGGCTTGCCCTTATCTTGCTCGTATATGGTTCTGTGGAGTGTAAAGTACGTCCTGAGAAGGACCTTTAGTTGCGCACAGTCCCGAAGCAAGCATCAGGCATCGGGTAATAAGACCGAAAGACCCAGTACCACGACAAAAAACTGCTGGAATCGTTTACCGGATCTGGTGCAGTTGTGGACAAAGCATCTAGGTTGGAGAAACCGGGAGTTTACTCCGGGCGCGAATGGCTGAGAACGCAGCGGCGGTGAGGAATAAAGACGCCAACTCCCAGGTCGCAGCTCACTCGGCGGGACGTGACCATATTTTCAAGTTGAACGAGGCCGAAATCTTCACAAGAGGGGACAATCACGTGAGCTGCGAGCTGCTCGAGTCATAGTTATCCGGCTCCCAATGAATTTAACAAGCGCAATGTTATGCCGTTCCCATACTGCGTGCTGAAATATGGTCTGAGCAGGAGAATCAGTCACGTGGGAAGGACCGGACCCAACAACAACTCTGACAACGGCAAACATAATTGTCGCGCAATTATCAAGCCTGTATTCGATACAGACAATGAAATTGCGGCTACTATTGACTCGAAAGCGAACTGCCAAGCCATCAATTCAGCAATTACGGCCCCAAGCGGTGGTTACAGGAGCTGATAATTATAGAACGCGTGCGGATGGCC